AACTCAGGACTTTCTGATTCCAAGTCTGGCACTCTACCCACTATACCATCTAGCTAACTAATTCATCCTCCTAGTAGCAGGTATTCTGACAAACAAGTTATAACTTTTTTTCTTTTCAGATTTTATTCATTTCTTCATGGGAGTGCAGGAAAGGACAGAGTCCTGATAATTGCAAAGAAGGCATTTGTTTCTGAATGCATTTGGTTTTCTGTTTCAAGACACCATCGGATATTTTGGAGAGTATGTTAACACACTGTACAACAGAGTGACTCATTTAAAAATTTTATGTGAATTAAAAGAATATCACCAGCCATTCAATACAATTTCCCCCTCATAAAATTTATTAGAAAGTATTTGCATATATATGGGATTTAAGAATGTCTGATAGTCCCATACTCTTTTCATCATAGTTTATATATCCATTTTTTAAATATAAAAAATATTATCCTGAAAATTAGGGTCAACTTTTATACCATTTCTGCCCAATGACAGCCTCTATAAATGTAATATATTTCCCATTTCTGATAGCAGTTGATAAGAATGGTAACCAGGAAGACCTACTTTAAAGGTGTGTGAGCAAATATTAGTGAGGTGTGTTTGATCATCCTTTATTTAGCCTATTAGCTACTGCTAAGGCTATGATCTGCATTTTCATTCAGAAAAATGAAAAGCTACTTATATGTCAGTTTGAGAGTACTTTCAGTTACCTGTTTTCCAGATGGTCTTACATCTTTGTTCTAAAACATTTAAAGTTTTCAACTGTAGATTTATAGTATGCCTGGCTTTTTAAACTTTAAAAATCAGACATATTATTTAAGTTGGGTGTTTTCTTAAGTTCTTTTTGATTATCTCATTCAATACCCTCTGGGGAAAACCCAGTAACTTTCAAAAGATGTTTCATTGCAAATAGATTTTCACTGAATATACCTATCTAAGACTGAAAGATTTGATTGTAGTGATATGCTTCTCTTTCTGTTTTATATTCAGATTTTTAAAATAACTATGTCCATTACAGTTTTAGGGTCTGTTTTGTAAGAAAAGGATTTCTCGATGCCCAACAACCAAGGGAAAGCTGTGGTTGTATGTACTGCATGTGTTGATATTACATCGACTTTATAAATGGTATTGGAGTTTTGTGACTAGAGAGGAAGATTCTGTAGGTGGAAAGGTTAGCAGACAGATGTGAAAACATACCAGACTTTGCAGGGTTTCTGAGAAAGAAGTTGTTTTAGGAAATACTTCTTTTCACACTTTGACCCCCCACTCTTGCTTATGGATCTGAATAGGCTTTTTAAAGGGAGTGGAGAATGACTTAACTTTCCAGGGAAACTCCCATTAGTCATTAGTGTAAATGTTGCAGGAGAAGAGTCTTTCTAGCCAGTAAAATTCAGCTTTGTGGCTATTTTGATCCAAAAACTCTTCCAGAGTAGTAATCTTAAAAAGAATATTTAATAGTGTTTAAGGTTTCTTAGCTCCTAATTTTGTGGTTCTTTGCAAACTTTAATTCTAGATGATTAAATCTTCTACCTTACAGATTTTATTGTGTTATTAGCAGAAGCCCTTAGACTGCCAACTTTGTTCCTTTCAAATGACTCCATTTTAGGTATTTTTACATAGTTTAAAAATGTTTATTAATCTGCTGTATAGTTTTCTGAGCTCATTGGATAATAGGAACATCCTAGTTAGCCCTCTGCTTCATGAGGTCCTTTAAAAATTTAGATGTTCAAAGTATAGACCTGCCTTTTAGGCTAACGTCAAAAATTACTTGTGGATTGGGTTACGTATCACATATTGCTGTAGTTTCCTTAAATAGAAACATCAGAGGACTTTGTAAAGTGTCAGGCAGGTTTTGGTGGTTGTGGTTTTTATTTCACTTACCTGGATAGATATAGGCCAGCTAAAAAATGACAGAAAGATGTCTCTTTGGTTAGGAATAAAATACTAGGCCCTTTAGGGCCCACAGATGGTTGCTGCTGATTTTGCTCCTTCCCATATTGGAGAGGGAATGCACACAAATGTTTACCCACTGTTCAGTTAGACACATTGCTTACCATTTTACTTTAGTTCTTCTTTGGCAATAAAGGACTTTGGAAAATTGATGTGTTTTCCTCGCACATTACTGGGGAAAATAATTTCTTTAAGAAAAAATATCAAACCTGAATAACATGTCATAGATTTTTTCACTCAATAAGTAGAGAACTTAAGAAATATTCCATCTCTCTCTCTCCCTCCCCCATATCCGCTATGCTTATGGAATGTTAAAGAACTTTAGTTTGTGATGAGTTTTCATGAATTTAAGTGAGGCGCTGGGACATACCAAGAGGATGTCTTGGTTAATACTTATAACCTGTATTTTGTGAGCTGAAGAATTTGTTGTAAAACTCTAAGGACTGGTCTTTTCTGAGGAAGTATTTTATTGTTAGTAAAATAACTTAAGGTTTATAATGGCTTCCCTGCAACAGCCTTATCAATAGAAGTGTTTCTCAACATTTTGGATGTTGTCATTGTGGTTTTTTTTTCTTTTTTCCCCCTGACACAATGCTCATTCTTAAAAATGCTGATTCACATGTAATACATTTCTGGAAAATAAAAATTTTGTTTATTTTGTGGGGGCAAGAATTTTATAATGCCCCTTGAGATAATTAGAAATGTTCTAGGGTCCTGCAAAACCACCATCTTCATGAAGACTGGTATAGTCTTGAATGTTATTGATATGGATAACTTTTAACTGAAATTAGTTTAGACCTTGGTTTCAAGTGTTTAGGGTCTTCTTGTCTTGTTTGGAGGTTATCTAGTTTTGTTATTCTTACCGCTATTCTTTTCTGTTATCACTCTTATGATCACATTATGGTAGTTAGTGCCTCTAACAAAAGGGGTGGAACAAGGCCTGTTTTGTTAATTTGGCTTGGTGGGGTAAGAGACGTCGCCAGTGAGATTTCACTTACTGGTGTTCTCTTGTTTCCTCATATCCCTAGATTAATTCAGTTTTGATTAATTTAGGCCTTTGAACTATATTTTGAGAATTTTTAGACCCTTTAGGGGCTACTCTTTTGGTTCTTACAACTTATGGAATGCTCGCATGCACACTCTCTCACACACACACACACACACACACACACAAAATCATTTCCATTCTGACTCTCTATCTTGGATTTACCACCTCACCAATCTTGAGCATTTAATGCATGTACTAGTAGAGTGGGGTTGTTTACTGATGTTGAACAATTAAAGACTCTTAAAGTAAATCCTTGCACAAAGCCCTGTGAAGTGCATCCTTTAGGCCTTCTAGTCGATGGCCTTTACCACTGTGCCGTTCATTGGCTCTTGTTGACTTAGTGTAAGTCATATTTTAGTTTTTTCTAAAGAGGTATCTAACCAGGAGTTTACAGTATTTTAATACCTGCTAAGGTCTGCAACCATCTCCAAGAAGGATTTTGAGGGAAACCAGAACTGATGGTTAAGGTTGATATAGATTTTCTCTCAAAATAACTAATTTAAGTGGATTTGCCAAGATTTCATACTTCTCTTTCTGTCTCCACTTCTATCTGTATATTTACAGTCAGATAGATACTAGTCAGCCATTCACAATTTGTGAAGGCACAGAGCATCTGAGAAATATAAGCCTTGGTCTAAACAAAATCAGTTTGTGGTAAAATGAATAATTTTCATAGAAATGGAAAATACAATTTCCCCCACAGTGTTAGTACCTTCCTTCCTATATTACCTACATACCGTGTGGCTTAAAGCGCTGATAAAGTGTTAAAAGCCTAAAGGTGGATGTTTCTGCAAATGATTTAAAAATTATGTTTGTCAAGTCCAAACTAATATAGCTTAACTTGGTCCATTAAGAATCTGGAATGGATTATCAACTTAGAAATACAGACATGAATCTTGTAGTATTAATTTTTGGAAAACACACTCTTTTTCATTTGTTTTCACTCCTGTAACAAAAGTTGGCTCACCTGTCTAAAAGTTCCTCTCAAAGTGAGTTGTTGTTGGCAGAAAGTAAATAGTTAGAGCATGTGTTAAGGTAATCATGTTTTACAAGGGAGGATTTATCCCTTTTTCTGATCAACTGAAATAGCTGTTGAAAATGAACTTTTTTCCTCTCAATTTAGTACCTTAATTCTGAATGGGCTAGGCCAATATCTCTATGTTACACCTTTTAAAAATGAAGTCTAAATTAGAGTGGTTAATGATAAGGAAATTAAAGGCTGTAAATACCTTAAATTTTTTCTTGTCTTTTATTGATAAGACTTAGAAAAATAAACATACCAAACTTGAGGGAAGTTGCCTTTTCCATTTCCTGGGCACTACACAATATGGTGCTAGAACACAAAGTACTTTAGAGATAACGCGTTGCCAATCCTCACAATGCACATTTAAGGTAAAGGGTATTTCCATTGGGATAGGAATGGAGGGATTGACTCACATGAGAAGTAACTTTATTACTTAAGAGCCGACGTAGTCAGCTTCTGTGCTTGGATTCCTGCTCGAAAGTGTGGCCCAGAGTGGTTTGCTTAACTCATATTAATCTCATGCATTTTTGGTTTTGTTTTAATAATAAGTTTATTCCCAGTTAAGCCTGACTAAACCTTTGGTAAAGTAATGGGTCTGTGTATTGTCATATTTGTTTAGAAATTATTCCAGTCTTAATTGGAAGTATAAGACTTAATTTCTCTTTTGTTTTCATTTTATTCCTACATTAAAATCATTCTTCACAGTCAGCCTTTTATGTGGGTATAGAATTATAGAACTTTAGGGCTGTAAGGTTCCATAGAGAAGTAGTCATATCTCTTCTGTTTTATAAATGAGGCTGTAGAGACACTGAGAGGTTCAGTGATGGGACCATTTGACTAAGATTACACAGTGACAGAATTGAATTCTGGTTTCTTGACTCTTAATTGGGGGTCTCTTTCTTTATGCCAGAGTCTAATCAGGCTCATTTAAAAAGCTGCAATAATATTTATACATGTCTGTACTTCAGCTTATATAGCTAAGGTCCCCCCCCCCAAAAAAAAGAGGAACAATTTGAACATTTTTTAATTTATCACAAATTATCCTCTTTTTTACTTTTCAGTTTGGGAAAAAAAAGCCATTTAGTTTTTAGTTAAAAGATTTCCCTTTGATTACTGGCCATTAGTAGCTATTAAGAAATGAAACTGTGTTTTCACAGTTTCAGACAAGGCAGCCAAGTTCATTCAAAGCTTTTATATTTTGCTTAAACCATAAACAACTTGCCTTCAGAATTGAAGTGTACAGTAGGATTATTAATGAATTTGTGAGTTATTCTTCCCCCCTATGTTGGCATTAGGAATAAATGAAAGAAAAAAGTTATTAAATTAAAAATTGTTATTATTACCACATGGCAAATGTTGTGCTAAGCAATGAGATACAAAGATTAAAAAGGGAATATTTCTTGCCCTGAAGGAGAATAATTCTGATATGGAGAAGACAGCACATAGGGAGAGAGAACCAGAGAAAAGGGGGTTCTGTACTGAGGAGGTAGAGAAGGGCTTTGGTATTGGTCCAGATGGGAAGGAGCAGATCGGCATAATCATGCAGAATAGGAGATGTACTGGGTGAATGGCTGGCTAGATGAGAGGTGAAGTATGGTCTGGTGTGCAGGGCCAGCCAGGAGTTATAGTGAGCTAATTTGTGAAATGAGCCGGAGAAGGAAATGGCAAACCACTCCAGTATCTTTGCCAAGAAACACCCCCACCTCCAAAAGGGGTCATGAGGAGTCGGTCACAACTGGAAAGGACAGTACAACAACAACAAATTTGCATAGTCAGCAATCAGCTGGGGGTGAGCCCTTAGGATGAAAACCCCGAAGATGAGTGAATTAACTGCCTGGGGCACTGGGGTCATGGATTCAGAAAGACATGCATATGGAAGTCGGGGTTCTAAGTCTAATGTGGAAGGTGCTGGTCCAGGGATGGCCTGCATATGGACTTCTGGATGGGGTGTGAAGGTGAGACATGGACAAGGGAATATTTTATCTCATAGAAATGAAGTCTGCCCAGGACTTTAATATTCTCACAGCTTTGCTGTTAGGGAGTAACTGGATTCATATTTTCCTCCACTCTTAACTTGGATGTTAAAAGCTTACTTGGTGTTAGTTCAGGCACACCAGTTTCAAACCTCTGTAAAGCCTCTTCTCTGAATAGATTTCTTTTTTTCCATTTTGGCAAGAGAGTTGAATGAGATTGCTTTTTAACTTCAAGTGTCACTGAAAAGACCTTGAAGTCTTTCTGAGAGATATATCATTTATCTGGTTTTGCTGCAGGTTTAATGCAAAAATGCACGCTACTTCTAGAAAGAGAAACCTCGGTTACTCACCAGTAAGCTTCTCTTAAGATCTATCATTCTTGACAGCAGATACAATGCTGCTCTTCTCTTTTACCACCTGGAGTTCTAGAAAGACTTTTTGGTTTCTGTGAGACATGACCTAATCAGGGAGGGGTGTGCCCTGCACCCTCTAGTGACTATTAGAGACCTGTGTGGGCCAGTTTCTAGTTTTGAATCCCTCTTGAGTATCAAAGAAGCAAAGTTGTTAGAAGAAAGACTTGCCGGGGACTGTCAGAGGAGGGAGGGAGGGAGGGAATTTGTATTAGTTGTCAGGGATGCTTCATTTTCAGAGAAGCCACCTTAGTGAAGTTATTAAGTTGCTCTAAGGTTGGAGTAGATACTTAAAGAACAATAGTAAATAAGGCCAATTTAGGAAGAGAAGCTCAACTTTTTCTGAAGAGATGCTGCTGGCCTGATGAAAAAAGGTCCTCTGGGTTCATATTGGGCAACTGAATATGGGACAACAGAAAGTATTTACTAAGTACCAGGCACTGTGATAGGTACTGGGGATACAATGAGAAAAACCAAAGCAATCTTTGCCCTTAGGGAGCTTACCTTGGTGGAGAGGCAGGATTATGTGCACATATATAATAAATACAAAAGACCAAAAAAAGCTGTACCTGTCATCTAATATCTTCAGTCTCTTAGTGTAGAAATTATAAAGACTTTCTCACATTTATTATATGGGGAATTTTTTTTTTTACCTTGGAGAAGGTATTGGGCAAGAATTTTGTCTTTGTTAAGGTAAAGATTGGCTTAGGAACTAAATTTGAATTCTGAGTGTAGCTTTGACATTTTAGTTCAGCAAACATGTATTAAATGTCTGTAAGCATAGAGGATAGCCAGAGTAAAGCAGTAGAAGGAGAAAATGGAGCTCCTTGTGTGAGGAAATGATAGAATGCCATTTTGACCGGATCACAGAGTATGGAAAGAGGGGGAAATGTAGAATGAGGCTGGGGAGATATGTTGGGGTCAGGTTATAAAAGGTTTTGAAAGCCAAATGGAGTAATTTATATTTTATCTTGTAAGCATTGTGGAGCCATTGTAGGTTATTGATTAGAAAAGTGATACAATCAGATCTGCTCTTGATGAAAATCAGTTTTATAGTGTATGGATTGGAGAGGGGAGAGACTGGAGACAGGGAGAACTATTTAGGAGGCCATTGACGTAGTCTTCTAGGTAAGAAGTGTTGAGGTTCTGACTTGGGTGATGATTGGGCGAGAGGGAGACACATGAGAAATATTGTGATGGTAGAATCAGCAAAATTTGGCAAGTGATTGGCTATGTAGAGAGAGAAGGGAAGGGAACAAGCACCTACCATGTGCTAAGGGCTTTATAAATATTCTCTCATTTGATCCTTTCGGCAATCCTGGGAGGAAGGTGATATCACCTTCATTTTATAGTTGAAGAAACTGAAAAAGAACCAGGTTAAGTGACTTGCCCAAGGTCCCGCAGCTGGAAAGTGTTTGAGGCTAAATTTGAACTCTGGTCTTCCTAACTTCAGGTTCAGTTTTCAGTAGAACTATGCTACCTGACTGTGGCCTAGTAGAAGTGTCAAGGATAAACTAAGGTTATGAACCTAGAAGATTAGAAGAAACAGGGAAGTTTAATAGAGGGATAAGTTGTGGAGGAAAGACCATGTGTTCTGTTTTAGAGAGATATCTGAGTTCCCTGAGGCAAGGAGGCATCATTCTGATATTTAATTAATAGAGCTCAGTCCTGACCTTTGGGATTTGGAAGGAAACTCTCAACATAAATGTCAGTAACTTTACAAAGTCCAGTTTGTAGCCCAGAAAGTCATAAACAAGCATTTATTAAGCACCCACTGTGTACCAGCCGTTGTGCAGCAACAGTCCTTGCTCTCAAGGAGCTTACAGTCTAAAGGGAAGACAACATGCAAACAGCTATACAAACCACATATGTATTATATCTCATAAATTAGAAATAATTAGCAGAGGGGAGCCTCTAATGTTAAGGGGGATTGGGGAAGGCTGTTGTAGAAAGTGGAATTCACTGGGAATTGAAGGAAACTAGGTAGAGATGAGGGGGAAGAGAAGTTTAGGCATGAGGGAGAGGCTATAAACATGCTTAGCAGGAAATAGAGTGTAAGGAAGTTAGAGTTGCCGGGCCCCAGAGAATATTAGAGTGAGAAAGTTGTAAGAAGACTAGAAAGGTGGGAGGGGACCAGGTGACGATGGCCTTTGAGCACCAGAGGATTTCATATTTGATCCTGGAAGATGCGGGGAGCTACTGGAGTTTATTGAATGGGGGGGAGGAGGGTAGTGGCATTGTCTGACTTTGACGTAAGGAAGAATAATTTGAAAGGCTGGAAGGTTCCATGTATAAGCTGTGACCAGATCAACTAGGTGTCAGGGTAGGAGAAGAGGTATAGCTTCTCATGAAGAACCCAAATCGTAGAACCTAAGAACTTTGTGAGGACCCTTGGAGGAAAAAAAAGGACCAAAAGAAAAATCTCCCAAATAGGAAGTGATAACTTCTTACTTGAAGTAAATGATTAGAGATCCAAACAAAAAAAGAGAAATAAAAGTCTGTCCCTTTGGGGTTTTCCCTTTCATAGAGCTATACCTTTTAGTTTTTGAGAAGCCTGTCAGGTTTTATTTACAGTCATGGATAAATCTAACCCATACTTGGAGAAACTTGTGTTTCCCATTCCTTTTCTATTTTGGGGTGCAGCCAAGTACAAAATCTTTTTGTCTTCCTGCTCAAGTAGCAGTTTGGGCTGCTGTGTGGCTGTTCAGCAAGAATGAGCATGTCTGTCTTAAATGATAGTGGAGTGAGATCCATGAGGACCATTCTGTCTAAAATGTAATGTGTAATCTACGCCTCTACCATTAGGAAAACAAAGTTTGAAATTAACTGGTCGTATGACTTGGATTGTTTTTTCTCTTTTTAAGTTGCTGACTTTGCACACCTTTTTAAGTTGTTGCACTAGGATTTGGCTCTTAACAGTACACAGCAGCTCAGAGAAATAACCATAGCAACCCTCGTTTCACAGGACATGGATTCCTCTTGTTGCAATCCCTTACATCTCCCTGAAACACCCACGCATGAAGAGGTGAAACTGAAGCTTCTTTTCTTAGTTATAATCAAAGGGTGTTTCCAACAAACATGTTCGCCTTTAAAAAAAAATTCCTGCACAAAGCCAGTTGATTGTATTTGCTTTATATTTTATTTTACTTTTAATTTGAAAATTTATTTCTCCAAATAGATTGGGTAATGGGAAGAGTGACTCAGAAATTTATAGGACTGAAAGATGTGTCTTATTAGGTATTTCTCTGATCTTTTCTCTTGGATAAGAAGTGGTAGTATGGGCACTGGAAATGGGGCAGAGTTATTTGTACAAATTAGTTTATGTAAACAAATCTATTTAATAGTTTGTTTTCATCCATAAGAGTCTTATCCAACATATCTTTATTTGGACTCTACACTCAATAAGAAAGTAACCTATTATTCACTAGGTTCATAAGTAAATGTTAGTTTTTGAGGGATAAAATTAAAATTTTCATATTTTTAATCATATTTTTGAGTGATCAAATTAAAATTTTTGTATCAGAGGTTGTGGATAATATTAAAATTTCAACCGGATGACTCCAATATAGATGCTTTTAACAATTTACCTTTCTAGATTTCAGTACTTACCATTACCTCCTTTTACCATTCAATTTTATTCATCAGTGCAATGGAAATAATTTCCTCATTTAACGACAATTAAAATCTCATCCAACATATGTATTGTATATGTCTAAGCCAAAGTTTTTCACAATGTGATAGTCCCTTTATTAGTCTTGTGGGATATTTGTAGTACATGTTTTATCCTGTTGTTGTTTGTTCTCTGTACTTGAAGAGGACTGACGACATCTTGATGTTGGGGTTAAGGTGTGGTGTGTTTGACTGTGTCTGATTAGTCCAGTAAGAGCTCAGAAGGCTCTACCACAGGTCAGGCACAAATAGTCTGTTTGAACATTTGGGATGGAGATGTCTCTAGGTTTGTGCATCTAACATTTCCTTTGTGCTACTGCGATTTTGCTTTGCACATAGAATACAGTCCCTTCTTTGATGTGGGCATGCCATGCTGGGCAGTCCTATGCTAGCATTTCTCATATCTCACAATCAGTACTCAGGTTCTTCAGAGGGACCTTGAGAGTGTGCTTGCATCACTTCTTCAGACCTCCGTGTGAGTGCTTGCCTTGTGTGAGTTCTCCACATTCAGGCTTGATGGCCAATCCATCAAAGTTGTGTTCTCTGCAGTAGAGTTTGAATGCTTAGCAGTTCAGCTCAAGGGGCAGAAAGAAGAGGTCTTAAGATTTCTCTAGGATGTGGGTGTAGCTCCCTATTTCCTCCAGGATCAGAAGTTGAGCATTGAGCTTGGAGTTCAGGAGACGTGAGATTCAGATCCAGCCTTAGACACTTAATAGTTGCATGTATCTCTGGGCAAGTCATTTAACCTCTGTTTCTATTTCTTCTCTTCTGTAAAATGGAGATAATTATGGAATTTACCTTCCAGGGTTGTTTTGAGCATAAAATGAGAGAATATTTGTAAAGCACTTTGCAGACCTTAAAATTCTACATAAAAACTAGCTATTATTAACATAATTAATAATA